CTTTGTAAATATATTATTTAGAGGATTTAAACTATAGGGATAAAAGGAAGAAGAAGAATTTGTTGGTTTTCAAGATAGATTTCTGTTTCAATCTTTAAAACAATAACAGAGGCTTTAGGAAGTACTTTTCTCATTGAGAAAGAAGACCGCATGTGGCTTGACTGTGTCTCAGTAAACCCTGTAGTATACAATTTTTACCATTTTGACATTATGATGTCTTTTCCTGTGAGTCTCGTATTTTTTTAAAGTGATAGTACTATCACTTTGTTCAATCTGCTAGAATAGAGCATATTTAATTCATATTACAACTCCTGGAATAATATTTTTTTGGCTATTTTAGATGCATTGCAATATCTTCTCTGGAGTCTGTTCCAAGTGGAACAGACTGGGCAGAGAACAGATCGAGACTAGCCCTGGGAAAAAAGCCTTGGAGGTGTTGGTGGACAAGAAACTCAGCATGTTTCGGCAATGTGCACTCGCTGCACAGATACCCAGCCATGTCCTGGACTACATCAAAAGAACTGTGACCAGCAGGGTCAGAGAGGTGATTCTGCTCCTCTAGTTTGCTTTCATTAGACCCCACCCAGAATACTGCATCCAGCTCTGGGGCCTCTAAAACAAGAAGGACATGGAAAGAGTCCAGAGGAGGCCACTTAGTTATCCCAGGGCTGGTGCACCACTCCTATGAAGACAGACTGCAAGAGCTGGGGTTCAGCCTGGAGAAGAGAAGGCTCCAGGGAGACCTTAGAGAAGCCTTCCAGTACCTGAAGGGAGCCTACAGGAAAGGCAGATGGAGCCTATTTACAAGCACATGTAGTGACAGGACAAAGGGTAATGACTTTAAACTTAGAGTAGATTTAGATTAGATACTAGGAAGAAATTCTTTTTTGTGAGAGTGGTGAGTCACTGGAACAGTTTGCCCAGAGAGGTTGTGGACGTCCCTGGAGATGTTCAAGACCAGACTGAATAGGACTCTGAGTAACCTGGTCTAGTGGAAGGTGTCTGTGCCCATGGGCAGGGAGTGTTGGAACTACTTGGTCTGTAAGCTCCCTTACAACCCAAACCATTCTATGATTCTATGAGTCTGACCTCCAAATTCATCTCATCTTTGGTCAAACTGATGGCATTGTGAAATTCGCAGGAGAAAATCATAGATGTGATGCAGACAGTAAGTTGTCAGCTAAGAAGAGATGTCTGGTTTAAATTATTAATATATTTCAAAGTATGCTCATGAAATTGTATTTGTCACTGCTTTATATTTGTGAGGGAAAAAATCTTGAAGAAAATTTTCTTAGAATGCTAATATGTGACTGTTTTACCGAGCATAGTTTAGTGCATTTATAATAGGCAAAATGCCTTTAGAAGTGTAAGAGAAATGGATAAAGAATTGGGAAATCCAGGTAGTCATGTTTGCCTGGAGGCATTTTCTGAGAACAGTAGTGAGTCAGAATGCAAATCCTCGTGGCTTTGCTGATTTTTGTGGTCGCTGCTGATTACTGTAAAATTGATTCAGGAGAGTTGCAGGATCTCTGCATATGTTTAAGCCTCATCTACATAGTGTCACAGGCATTTTTCCTCTCTGTGGGTTTTGGACTGAGTAGGAAAAAATTCTCATAACCTTCATCTTAGCATTTTTTCCTTATCAAGGAGCAAAGAAGGACAGATATTCAGTTACTTCTCAGTCTTGGTCTTAAGTATAATAGCACAAGCTTTCTTGGATTGGCTATTTCAGGAATTTAATGGTATTCAGATAATGTTTTATCAATTTGGATCTAGACTGTGGCAAGGATAGTTTGCTTTGAACATGAAGAATTATTATTCCTATACTTTTATTTAAAAGTACTTTAAGGTCATATAATGTTATTTAACTAAATTTCAAGTTTATCTTTTTCCTTCATCCTGAGAATGAATTTGAGCTTTAACTCCACTAAGTATACAATTTCACAGCTTGACATTGATTTCTTGAATTTTTCATTATGTGGAATTTTACTGTATGGACCATGTGTTACAAAAGTATCCTGTGCCCCTGTAAAACTTCAAAGAAGTAAGGCACCATAGCACCTTAGCAAGGAATTTCTCTGAACAGAAAACACGTTAAGTAACTACCACTTACATACATGAGATTTGTGTTCAGTCATTTCAGTTGGCAAAGTTAACTGCACTGTGTTTGAAAATAGAGGAGGCCTGCCGTATCCACACAGAAACACTTTTAAAACACTGAGAAATTTCTTTGCAGAGGAAATTAGTAAGCAGGATGTGACTCCAGAACTAAATGAATGATTATACAGGGAAGATATAAGAAATAAGTATTTTAGAAAGGATTATTAGTGAGAAAGATTGTATTGAAAAAAAGAGAAGGTATAAAGGGCATTTGCTGCAGAAATAAGAGCCTAAGTTAGGACTTTCACTGAAAAATGAAACTTCTAGAGGACTTTTAAACAACAGTAGAAGGTCATTTACATATTTAAATAAAAATACAGGAAATAGGAAAATAATTGAACCTGTTTTATATTGATGATGGGACAGAAAAGAAGGAAAATCTAGTTGGAGACTTAAAACTAATAGATACTTCACATTGATTTTCACTCAAGGAGAATGTCGACCTTAGAAGAGGTGTGATGACTAATAAGAATAGAGGAATGACCTCTTTCTTCTCTGCTTCTTCAAGAATTGGTTTGCTGAAGGACAGATACAATAACAAGATATAATAAGACTTCTTAGTAGAGCTGTTAAATGAGTTGTGATACGTATGATCAGTGACGTTATAGAACAGGTTTTATGGAAAGAAAGCTTTAAAGTATGCTTATAGACAGAAAATGTCATAAAATGCAACCAGAAGTTATTAAGGTAGAAAGCACAGGATTAATCCATATCTTCCAGTTACCAAGAGTGTGAAATAAAATAGACATACTCTTAAGAGAAGTGATTTATGAAAATAGGCACAAACAAGAGAATTAAAAGGCAGGAACAAAACTAAGGAGAAGATGACGATAAATGGTAGTAGAAGATGAGGTACAAGGCTCGAGAAGCACACCTACAGCAGGAAGATATTGGGTGGCTAATTTTACAGTAGACACAGAGATAAAAAGTCAGAGTACCATTATGGAATTTGCTGAAGAGGCATATAAATACATAGATATAAGACCAGAGCAGGCTAAGAATGTAACTGTGAAAGTAAATAATTTTGAGGAGTACAGTAATAGATGTGTCATAATGGAAAACAAATAATAGTGACTAATAAAAATATTATGTTATAAGCAGAAATTTATCATTTGCAAATGACCCAGAAGGAAAAAGGAGCAGATTTTGATCCCAGCGTGATCATCAGCCATCACTGAGGTGCAGATTTAGAAAAGTGCGTTGTCCTACTAGGACAAGGCAGCAGAAATATGGTAGAGATGGGCAAGTAATGTAAAAAGAAGCAGAAAACCTTCAACTAAAACTCTCAACATGTCTGTCATCTGTGTTCAAGCAAGATGAAATGAAACTGGGAAAGTACAGAACAATGCTTCCTGAGATGATTAGTGGAATGGCAAGCCAGTCGTTTGATGGGTTTAAGGGAATATGTGTTGTGTGGTCCAGCAAAGAAAATACTGGGAGAGTTTGTAAGAGGTGTGTATCAATATATTAAAGGTGAACATAGGGAAAGGAAAGCTTTTGAAAAAACTTTATTTATATTTAATCTGGCTATGAAAATCCTTAGGATGGGAGCCATAACAGAGGAGCAGCACATAAAATCCAAAAACTGCCCTCAAGCCACTTGCTCCAGTTCTGGCATCAGAACTGGGTAAATAACCCAAATTTTAGGAGAGAAATGCACCAACTGTATTTTTAACTCTTTATACAGTAAATGTAAAATGAAAGATTTAAAGCTGAACTGATTTGAACTTGCTAACAGTGTGCACTGTACCCTCACTGTGCTGCACTCACAGGATGACTGTGACCTCCAGGCTAGAAGAGAGAGGGCCATCATCTAGTTAAAAGGGTGTGTCTTAAGTTTTCCCATGGTTAGGGTATGTGAAAGAATGCATTTCGAGAAGAGAGGATCTGGAACAGGAGAGCATAGGAAGTACATACTTAGGAGAAAATGGATACAATGATCCCGAGATGGATTGTTCCTTTTTTCATTTTCTGTGATTCTGGAATAGGTAACACTGTTAACGATCACATAGTTTGTAATAACTTTTTTTGTGCTTCAAAAAAAATGGAATGTTCTTCATTAGACCCTTTATGAATTAGAAAGGCAGTATTTTATGCTTGCTTTTATGTGCATAGATCAGTAAAGCCCTTATCTAGTCTAATGAGATCAATAAAAGTCTTTCTCTATGTCTTAAATGACTCCAAGAGCAAACCAAAACTTGGAATATATATTCAGGTCAATTGTTTTCTGTTTTTGAGATTAACACAGAGCAGAAATAAAAGGTTTGGGGCAAAATTCTGATCACAGTGACTTACTATATTTTACTTCAACTGCCCTCTTAAAGTCAAGGAGATTATTCATGAACTAGCTTTTTACACAGTGTCTCTAGAAGTTTTAATGTACCACAAGGGCTTCCTGCTTAAAAGGGAGCAAAGGTTACAATTCAAAATGTACAAATTTCACTTACAAGGTCAGTAACATGTTTTTTATAATTTTCATATTTTAGAATGTGAACACTTTTCAGCTTAAGCTAATGGAAATGCTAAATGTCTGATAATATGCAGAGCTATGGTTAAACCAGCATCTTATTTATTTTATATTTTATTTTAGAACAAAAATTCTACATACTGTGACATTCTATGAATGGGACCCAAAGGTCACTAAAAAAAAAAAAAAAGAAGTTACTTAGCTATTCATTTGTTGGTTTCCAGAACAAGACACACGTGAAAATTGAATTTAGCTATACAGGCAGAACTGGAAATCTTCAAATTAAAAATTTGGGGATGTTGGAATGTGTAAATACATGTTAATATATTCTGTCACTTAAACTCTTGTTTGTTTGGTTTTTCATTTCTTTCAGTTTGCTCCCAGTATTCTAGAGGAGTTTTTGCCATTTTTGGACTATATGATAAGAGATCAGTACATACCTTGACCTCATTCTGCAGCGCCTTGCACATCTCCCTCATCACGCCAAGTTTCCCCACGGAGGGTGAGAGTCAGTTTGTGCTGCAGCTGCGGCCATCCCTGCGGGGAGCCCTCCTGAGCTTGCTGGATCATTATGAATGGAACCGCTTTGTTTTCCTGTATGACACAGATCGAGGTAAGTTGTGACCCAGCTTTCTTATCTTTATTGTTAAAATGACTTTTTCAAGAGTTGTGAATTTTTATGTCCCGTTGAGAGCTTGGAGAGTCAAATTTTAAGGGGCCTTTGGGGTGAAATACCTCTGATTGTGTAGCTATGTGGCTGAAGCTAGAATTCCTTCATCTGCAAAAATTAGATATAGTGTGTACATAGTATGTAATTGACCAGCCAAAGCCTGTTCTTCAAGTCTAGAATACGAAAACCTCTTAAATAATGTTAGTGAAACAAAGACACAGTTCAATAAGCAGGATTTTACAGCTCTATTCACTCTTCAACTCACTTTGTAAGTGACAGCAGTACAAAGAAACAGAGAGGAACAGCCACTTCTCTGCGTCTGCACTGGTTTAAGCTGAGAGCCGAGTGAGCCTGTGGAACTTGCAGACTTTGGAAGGTCAAGGCACAGAAAGGGTCTACCCTAAGGCCGTGGCAGAGTAGTGGGGGCAAGAGGCAATATCTGCCAGGCATGAGATATCCACGGGCCAGCAGAGGGAGAGAGTACTGCAGTAGTCCATCTTCTACTCCTTTCATCTGGAGTTCTCTCTGTGCTGGACTACACTTTTATAAAATGCATAGTTCATTACAGAAAAGTGTACATTTTGTATCCACAGTCTCCATTCCAAATCCCAGAGCAGCTCAGAACTGATTAGGTGGTAAAAAACTGCAAGTGTGTTTCTGCATCTCACCACTCAGTGAGCAATTGAGAGGTAAAATCTGTCCTCCAAGTTGTGTGTTCAGTCTGCTGGCAAAGCCTTCTGCCTTTGTTTGTGGAATAGGCTTGAGCCAACATAGCTGAGCTTCTGCAAAAGAGGCAAGATTTTTATGTTGATGACTTGCTTTCAGGGGGGAAGCAAGCGGCATAGCTGTAGTCAAATAATTATTTTACTACAGCTGTTTCAATATAGTTTCCCATGTGGACTGTATATTCTGGAATTAAAGTGGCTTTATTCCAGTATAATTACCCTACAGTAGAAAGAGGGAATTACATTGACCTAACTGAATCTGTTTAATAATTTGAGTACGGCTATAGAAGTCAGTTTTCTCATATCTACAAGCACTAAATTTTAGTGAGTTTTTAGCTCGATATACTACCTAAATACCTGATTTTAAAGCAAAATTAATATGGAAAGAAAGAGTTTGTATTGTTCCATAATTGCTTGTTTGTTGTTTTCAAACTAGATATTTTTTTAGTTCTTGCTTGACCCATAAAGGAAGTTCTGGGATTAGATAACTGGAAAGAGAAAAATGTAATGGAATTTAAAAGTATTTCTGCTCAAGATATAGTTATGGGTAAAAAGAAAACAAGCACATGATTACAAATGTGGTCCTACAAGTTCAGGAAATTGGTAAGAGAAGGAGTGCACAGCCTGCAATCACCTTTGTCATCCAAATTCTCATGCTTAATTAGATTGAGACATCATTTTTAAGCATGCAAAATCACACCAAGGACAGTTCAAAACAGTCTATAGTAGCATGGTCCTTAGGACGTAGATGGGTTGCCTCGCTCATGAAGATGGGCCATTATTATAGTAGCATGGTTAGTAAATGATTCTTATGGCACTGAACTCAGCAGCTCTGAACTCATCAGCATGTCTTTGATAAAGAGATGACATTTGCCAGCTTGGATGCAGGGGATGTGTCATGTCAAAAGTGGGAGTTTAGGTTTTTGTCTGCTAGTATTCTCGGGAGAGTCAAGACTGGTGCCCAATGGTCTGTCAGCATCTCATAATGATGCCCTTTGCCAACAGATTCACAAGATTCAGGGTACCTCAACCTCACTTGTTAGGGGGAACTCAACAGAGCCAAGACCCCTCAGTGGGTCCTGCAACTGGTATTTTCCACTGCTGGCAACTACAAGGAACAGTTAACAGAATAACCCTTTTTATTAATGCAAATTGTGACAGAGTAATAAGGTTTGAAGGTTGTCTGTTATAGTGTCTACAGCAAAAATACATTTTAAAGCAATCTACTGATACATGTATTAAGCAAGCAAAAGCTCTGATACGAAGCAATCTACTGATGTGCTATGGGGTAAGCACAAGCAAAAGCTCTACTCCTAAAAGCAGCATTTAACGCACGTAGAGTATATTTCTCACCCAGGGCATCCCTCAGGGTGGGAAGAAGACAGACTCAGCCCGATGACTGATCCCCGTAGTTTTGGTGGAGGTCTTCTCCCACTTTCCTCCTATCCCCAACTTACTTTTGTACTATTTTCTTTATGTTTGGGAGGAGTTTGAGTGGCGCTAGTCATAAATACCTTTTATTTCTGATTGGTGTATTTAAGGGGGGTAGAGGTGGTGGTTCGTGCTTTGGCATCTGAGGAGGGGATTTGAAATGGTTGTTGCTTTCAGCAGCAGAACATCTTGATTCTCCCTTATCAGAGAGGTACTGTATGGTCTTAGTACCACAGTGTTCTCCTATTATGTTGGGATTAGAATGGAGGGGGGCCACAGAGTCTCCACTTCATTCTGCACTCCGTTCTGTTTCTGTGAGCAGATGTTTATCGTTGTACTGGGGAGCATGTCGACCTCAGTCCATCCAGGGAGCTGCAGCTGCTTTTTACCTTAAAATTCTGAATCTCCTCTAGATTTAACTCTATCCATCATCCCGCAGGGTACTACACTGGATAGTCTCTCAGATTCTTAAAAGGTCTTGTGATGTAGTTTAATGCAGGAGAAAATAAGATTCAATGCATCTTTTGGTATTAAGATTAATATAAAGACACAATTGCTGAATAAATTTTCACTACCTTTACACAAGAGAAAATTTAATGTGGACTTGAGATATGATAAGAAAAAAAGTAAGCATCATCTCTTACTGTCAGAGTAACTAGGAAAAGCAAAAAAAAAAAAAAAAACCACAAACATTAATGTTGAGTCATAGGGTCTCTGTCAGTGAGGCCAGAAAATAACCTTGTCCACATTTTTACCAGAGATCCTTCCTTTACGTGACAGATGACAGTCTCCCTGTCTCTCTGAGCAGCCCCCTCAAAGCAAATTGAAGGAATGTGAATCCCCTCAGCCTTTTGGTTTTGTTCCTGGGCCTGTAAGTTATCTTTGCAGCTTAACTGGGAAGTTATGATTGAGCTCCTATGGGGGAAGGTAAGCAATACACATAGATTCCAGCCCAACACAGTAGGTGCTTGTGAAGAAGGCAGTATTTAGCAGCTATCAGTACTGTAAAAGGCAGAAATAGTTGGCAGAAAGCAGTATGATGAAATTAACTTAGGCAAGCTTTCATCAGCAGTGGTGGGCATGTTGTTTTCAGACCTGCTTTCCTGGAGCTTTTCCATCCTCCTTGTTTCATGACTTGGTTGCATATGACAGTTGCTGCTTGCTCTTAGGGGTTGAAGAATTAAGTCCTATTATTGGGGTAGGTTTCTCTGCTGTATCATTCCATTCAACTCTTTACCACTGGGAGCATCTATGCTAACATTTCATTTCAGGTCAGGAGTGCACTTTTGTCGCATCTCTCCAAGTTGTTCCCATGTACTGCACTTGAATTTGCACCATGTAGTAGTCTTGGACCTCACAAACTCTGATGAGGTGGTGACTTCAGCTATTATGTTAAACCTTCCTTTCTGATGTTCTGCCAAAGTCACAGTCTGGAAAATCACTGTCCTGTGACAGGATGAAGATACTAGGAAGAATGGCAAAAATACAGAATTAATTGGATCTAGCAGGGGACATTACAGAAAAGGAGAACAGGTTTTTCAAAAGGCATTAGACCTAAGAGAAAGATGAAGGAAAATTCAGCTCATTATTTAACAGGGAAAAGTGAGCAAGGAGAGAGTGACACAGAAGGCTAGAGCCTGAAGGGTCCTTTTGTTTCAATACTTTCCTCTTTCTCTTGCCCTCCTTCCATAAAAAGGTTTAATTATCACCCGGTGCTTAATACAATTAATATTAACAGCAAAGTGCCAGGAACACAGAACAGGGAAAAAGCACACTGATGAACACCATGTTATGCAAAGCGTAGTAGGAAAGGGCTGAAATGAAAACTATGTCTCCCTGAGATACCCAGAGGAAAGGGAAGTCCAGGGGGGCAGAAGTGTTCAGTTAATATTTGATGTGATCTCTAAAGGGATTTAAGTGAAAGAAACAAATGAATTTGAAAGCAGCGTTTTCTGGCACCAGAAAGAAAAGTTGGACCCTGAAGCCACAGAAGAAGGATGGAGAAGTATGTGGGAGATGTGAGAAGCTGTAAAGAATAAAATCATAGAATCATTTAGATTGAAAAAGACCCTTGAGGTCATCAAGTCCAACATTAACCTAGCATTGCCAATATGAAATATAGAATTGAGAGGTGCAAGAGTCAAGCCTACAAGAGGTCAGTGTTAGTTTTCCACGCTGTGTGCAGCTTTCCTGAGACCTGGAATGGCTGAAGTTGCTAATAAAACTGCAGAGATTACCCAGAGCTAAAGGACCCCAGGGTGGAGTGGTAGGGGGGCTGTAGAGCAGCTTGAGACACATGGGAGACCAGGGAGGATGGCAGCCAGCAAGCTGGAAACTGTTTTCACAAGATTTCAGCATCCATTTGAACTCAGTTGTGTTTCCTAGCAAGGGTTTTCAGTCCCTGACTGTGATAAAGAGAGGTAGCACAAAGGGTAGAGCTACCAGCTGGCCTAGCAGTTGGTTCACTAGAGGCAAGGACTGTAAATCTAGAAATTAGGCATCACATGTGACTCTGTTTATGTGCCTTGTTAATACTTTTTTTTTTTTTTTTTCCCCGTTGCTTGTTGTAATTACGTGTTCATAAAACCAACTCAGTTATGGTTGCAGGTGAGAAAAATTCACCTACTGTGCAAAAGGTAAATTTAATTTTCCCACATTTCTGGATAGTGTTTTTGTAGCAACTCCTTTAAAGTTGAAACTGTTGTGTTCTATGACAATCAAACCTGGCAGAAGGGTTATACAAGTCCTGGTGGCCTGTTAGACTTAATCCTACAGTACATAGTGTAA